TGTTAAAATTTTTTGTTGAACTTATTTTTACGACACTAATTTAACACAATCATCATCAAAATATAGCATATTGCAATAATTTATAAATTTAGAGGCAACTTGTCGAAATTAGAAGCTCAAAGAATAAGTTTGTAAAACCAAATAAGGAGTAAATTGCTAAAGCCATATATGTGTAGAGACAAATGTGTAAAATACTCATAAAATTATGACTAAGCTAGTAAGCTTGATGTAATTTATTAATCAAATAGAAAGATAGTTTTTTCGTTGCTACAGATTAGTATCCAACTCGTATAAACATATTTTATTGTCAAAAGAGAATAAATTAAAAAAAAAAAAAAAAAAAAACCCATCGTATAACATATTTTAGGTCACACTATCAAACACTAGTAATTCCATTCAAGTGCCAGCGTAGCACTAAACAATAAAATAAAAAAGCCAGGTTCCCATATTAATGTAATATTCAAAATACGGTACAAATAGAATAGGGTTTTTTTTTTTTTTTTTTAGAATAATAGAATAGGGTGTTTTTGGCGAATGCAACAATAAGTTAGTTGGCATCTTAAATTCAGTAGAATATACTTTTTTTTAATAAAGAATTCGGTAGAATAAGTTGACCCATAGAGCATTGCTCCTTTTAAATTGTTATTGGTTTTTAAAATTAATCTACCATAAAATTAAAATATAAAAATATCGCACCATTAAAACACAATTTTAAACCGTCAACACTATGTTCCATTAAATTATTATTTATATATATATATAGATTTTTAAATGTTATTAGATTTTGATATTAATGTCTTGGTTAAAAATTATATCCTATCAATAAAGAATTTCTTTCTTCTCATACCCTAAAATTCTTCAAAAAATGTATATTTATTTATTCAATGTAAACAGGGGCGAAGCTAGCAGCTCCCCCACTCCCCCGGGCCAAGGGCTCCTTTGCACTTTTACCCTCCACTAGAATTTTGACATTTTTCCTTCTAATTTGCCCCCTTTGAAATATTTTTATTACAATATGTACAAAGATTTTTTTTTTAAGTTCAATTACGCTCCAAATTTTGACTCCCATGTACCCTAATATATATATATATATATATATATATATATATAAAAAGCTTAAATAAATCAAACATCAATTACACTACTATATAAATTCATAATTCTTTAGATCTGTAAGTTTAAAAATTGAATTAAGACTCTATTATACTTTTACAAAATCTTAAATAAGGCCCCGTTTATTTCACCGATTTGAGTTTAAAATTTAAGTTTTGTTACAGAAAAAGATCTCAGAACAGTCACATTTAACTTTTTTGCTACAGTAAAAAACTCTCACATAAACTCATATCTCAACTCGAATTAAAAACTAGAATCAACGAATTAATCTAAAATTAAAAACTCGAATCAACGAAATAACATTTAATTTGATTCACACCCTCTAAAAAAAATTTTCTAGCTCCGCCAGCATCTAAACGACTATTACTTTGGGAGAATGGTGAGTATGAGACGTGTATGGAGAAATCAAAAGGAGAAAGGAAGAGAAACAGAGTGGGGTTTTCTTCCATTTATCCCGTTTTTTTCGCTGATTTGAGTTTTGTTACAGTAAAAAATTCTCAGAAACAGTCACATATAACTTTTTTGCTACAGTAAAAAACTCTCACATAATATCACATTTCAACTCGAATTAACAAACCGAACGGGTAATTTATCAAATCACAACCGGCAAATTTACGCTTGTCTTTTCCACTTTGGAGTGGAATCATCATGGACAATCTTTAGCCCTTTTTTAAGATAAGCTTTAACACTTTGCTGCACTTAATTGTTACTCAGACACTTTTTTAGATCACACTAAGGTTCAAAATAGTAATAATAACAAACAAAAAAAAAAGAATCTGTCTCTTTTTTTTTTTCTTTTCTTTTTTACTTTTTTACTTTTTTACTTTTGAGATAGTTGGATCCATATACGCATATTGTTTGGACTGCATTCAAGACCATCATAGTTAATGAAAGAAATTTAGAAAATAAGGATGATGTAAACATTCAAACCAATAAAAAAATGTTCCTTGGTTGGACTAAAGTCTGTTTGCTTAGTCTTGTTTTAGTCCAACATCAATATAGGTCAAGTAGACAATTCAGATTCTCATTCAATGGAGAGATTCGATTTTTTTTTCTCTCTTTTCTTTTTTAATTAAAAACTCCATTAAATCTAATCCAATTAAATCAGTTTTTTCTGACTTTTCTATCTTAATAATTGAGTTAATAGTGGCCTTTATTAGAGCTAAATATCTCATTAATACTCTGTATTTTTTTATAATATTAAAACAGTATTTTTACCTAATTTAAAGAAACGTACTTTTAGTACCCCAAGACTGATTTTTTCTAACATAAATTATACATTCTACTATTCTCATTAAGTAATGACAAACTAATAATTTAAAAAAAAAATTATTTAAAAATTAAAAAATTAAAATACATTAAAATATTTTCAAAAAATATTTTAAAAGTTACTAATTTCTATTTAATTAATTAAAATGGCAGTTTGAACATATGTCCCAAACATCAGTCTTAAAATACCGAAAAACATTTATTTAAACATAAAAGTACCGTCTTAATATTATTAAAAACACAAGATAACAGTGAGATGTTTCAATATAACAAAATGATTTTATCCTTTCGTAAAATGGTTTCATTTTAGGGAAAAAAACACCATCCAAAAACTTTATAAAAAAGAGATAAAAAAAGATAATATTAAAGAAACAAATTCAAATTATGAGATGAATCTTTCAACCAAACGTCTCCTAAAAACTATGTAAGGTGTGTCATTAGAAAAGTGATGTTCATGTGTAATATGTAAATATAGTCATTATTATAAAGGTTGCAACTTTAAGATAATGATTAGAGAAACTTTACGGTACATTTGTGACGGGGTAAGTATTTTTGACTGTTAGATTAAATTTTTAACGATTAGATCTATATAGGTTAATATTAAAAATTTATAATACGCCACATAGACATGATCTTGTTGTAAATCTGACCTGAAAAAATTAATCAAACGGTAAAAACATTTATTCTACTGGTGGGTCACAATTTTAAAATGCACTGTACAAAACCTAATGATTAATATCAAAATATACACAGATAAAACGATTATCACAAATAATATTATTGAAAAATTTAACAGTATAAACATTTTATATACTAACTTATTTTTTAATAATCAACTGAAAAAAGACTGATAGTCACCAGGGGCGGAGCCACTTGAGGCCCTACGGATAGCTGCGCCTCTCCATCCTCTCTGTCCAAGTGGCTCCTTCAATATTTGGCCCCTAAAATTTTATTTCTTACATTTTTGCTCCCTTTGAAATTTTATAACTACGGTTTCTTTACATATGATTTAAAATATATTCTTTTTTGTTATCTCCCAAATTCTAGTTTTATTTATATCCTTTTTTAATAGAACTTTTTTACTGTGAAGATAGAAACAAAAATTAGTTTTGGGATGTCTAAACATCACAAAAGAACTAAAATGAAATTCGGTGTAAAGCCAAATTTGAGTTAAAAAGTAAATTTATGTGAGAAAAAATATTGTAGTATAAAAAGTAAAATTTAAATTTTTATAAGAGAAAACACTATAATAAAAAGTTTGAGTTGTGATTAGGGGTGTACATGGGTTGAGTTGGATTAATTTTAAGATTTTTTTAAACCCAACTCATAAGCATCGGTTTGGAGAAAATACAACCCAATGTTACTAGAGAAATACTCTTAATTAATGCGTTTTTGGTTGGTTTAGGTTAGGTTGGGTTGTCGGTTTATGAATAATTTTGTTATGTTTATTTTTTTTAGTTTTCAATTGATAATAAGTAGAGTTTCAAATTTTAATTTGCTCATAAAGAAGTGGTGTTTCTTGTGTTAGTTAATTGAGCATTTATAAAATAATTTATACTACTATAAGCTCTAAAAAACATATACTAAGATAAGCTAACAAAGGTGCATTTTCCTTTATGCTTTCGGTATATCAAATATATTATACATTTTTATTTTAAGTATATATGAAATTCAGGTTGAGTTGGGTTGTAAAACCCAACCCATAACTTCAGTTTGAAGTATTTATAACCCGTAATATATATTTTAATTTGTCGGTTTATCATTTACACAATAAACTATTCATTTATTATTAAAATCTGATACTTATTTAATTTAATTTTAAAAATATGTTATTTATTATAATTTCTCTTTATTCGAATATTGCTCTTTGTATATAGGTAAAATATATCTCGTTTACTTTGCAGATTCAAGTTTTTAATTCGAGTTGAGATGTGATATTTTTTAAAAACTTTTTACCGTAGCAGAAAAAGTTAGATGTAATATTTTTTAAGAATTTTTTACTGTAAAAATCTAAAATTAAAAACTTAAAACGGTAAAATGAACGAGACAATAGTTTATTAGCGGTGCACACTAGAGTGGAGCAATTGAGCAAACAACAGATTAGGCTTAGCTTCACAAACCAAAAAAAAAAAAAAAAGTTATTAGACGTAAGGAGGAAAAAAAATAAAATAAAAAAAGTATTAGACGTTTGGAGGGAAAAAAAAAAACAAAAGAAAAAAAAGTTATTAGACGTAAGGAGGAAAAAAAAAGAAAAAAAAAAGAATTAGACGTTTGGAGGAAAAAAAAAAAACAAAAGAAAAAAAAGTATTAGACGTAAGGAGGAAAAAAAAAGAAAGAAAGAAAAAAAAAGAAAGACGTAAGGAGAAAAAAAAAAGAGAGAGAGAGATGATTTTTCGTGCATATCTTGTGGGCCAACTACCTCCATTTCCCACACGCTTTGTAAATTCTAATCCAACGCTGGGAAAACCCGATAACGCAGGATGTACGCTACAACCACTCGCAGAGTAGAACTCGTCATTCTCATTTCCTCTTTCGTTGCCTACAGTTTCTCTCTCCTCTCTCTGTGAACGATAAATACTCAGACAACCCAATCCTTATCTTCCTTCTCCCTCCTCTCTCTCTCTCTGTCTGACCCTAAAAAAAATCTCTACTTTCCTTTTTTTTCTCTTTTTTTTTCTTTTCTTTTTTTTTTTTTTCTTTCAATTCTCCCCTTCAAAACCCCTCCTCCTGTTTGGAGGAGCCTCTTCTGCTCAGCACAGGTTTTCTCTCTCTTCTTTCTCTCTCTATTTTCTTCTTCTTTCTCTGGTTCAAACACGATCTAAAACGTGTAGATCTGCGTAATAAAAATAATATTTTGATATATATTTTCTAAATTTGTTTTCTTTTTTGGGTTTATAAGGCGTTTTTGGTGCGAGATCTTTGGAATCTGAAGATGATGAAGGGGTGCGGTTACGAGCAGAACGCCATGGCAGGATGCGAGGGGTTGAGGATGGTTGTGGGATCTGTCGTTTGTCCAAAACCTCGTCGTTTGGGGATTCTCAATCCCTCCATTAACGACCACATCAGACCTCTTAGATATCCCACCAAGTATGACTCGTGTTTTTTTTTTTTTTTTTCCTGTTTTAACTTCTTCCCTAAATTTCTGGAATTTTAATTTAGAGTCTTGTATGTACGTATGTGTGTAAAGAGAAGTGAAAAAAATTCGTTTCTGTTTTTGGGAAAAAAAAAAGATTATTTCTTTCTTCTGATAGTAATTATTGTGTTTTTCCTCTTTGTCTTACCAGTCCTTTTCAATCGGAAGTTGGGGATTCTCAAGCCGGAACAGAACTCCTTGATATCATTCTCACCAAGGTTTTCTCTCTCTTCTCTCTATGTGCAATTTTTTTTCTGGTCTTTTCTTGGTTTGAAAACTTGAACCTATTTTTGTGTTTTTAATTAATTTTTCTAAAGCTTGTTTGGTAACAAATTTTTTCTTTGACTGGGAAAATATTATATATATTTCTTGAATCTTAATCAATCTTCACTTAATCTGAGCGATACCAAACAAATTTTGCAGTTGAAATTTTGGTTTGAAAATTAAGACCCATATTCTTTATTCGTTCAAGGATTATTCCTAACCCAAAAACAAAAACAAAAAAAACAAGTAATTAAAGGGTAAATTTTGTTTTTTGACCTCAAGCTGAGATTTTATTTTATTTTGTCATATGAATTTTAATGGCAGGGGAATAGTTCAGAAATACACAATAACCAAGTAGCTTCATCTCCACCGTATTTCTGTGGATCTCCACCAAGCAGGGCTTCAAATCCAGTAATCCAGGACGAGCAGTTTGGCAACGGGAAGGTGGGTTTTGTATCCGCAACACCGCCGTCGCCGTCCTCCGCCCGCAAAGGCGGCTGCGCTCGGATGAAATTCGGGCACAAGCCGGCGGCCGTGCGCGTCGAAGGGTTCGATTGCCTCAGCAGAGACCGCAGGAATCGCAGCATCTCTGCAGTGGCTTGAAAAAGGAGGAGGAGGATGATCATATAACCCCCAATACAACAAAAAAAAAAAAAAAAGGTTTTTGAGAGAAGTAAAAGGGGTTTTGAGAAAGAAGAGGAGAGAGGGAGAGAAAAGAGAGTTTTTAGTCTTGTAATATATTTGTGTATATAAGGGTCAAGTTTTATGCAAGTTTCTGGTTCTGCTGATGATTTTAGTCTTTTGTTATGGTAACCCCAAAAATGTATCTGTAAAGTAAAGGTCAGTTTATGAGAGTATTTTCCCATTTTGATGATCAGGAATAAAGAGAGAGAGAGCTAAAGAGGGACGTCTTGGTAGAGTTTGTCCACCTTTTTTCTTTTGTTTTGTTGGGGGTCTTTATCCGAGACTCCTTTTGAGAGAAGGTTCCTTCATTGGACAAGAGTCTGTAATTTAAAAGCAAATCTTTGAGTCTTTTGTTTCTCATAATCCTCCTTTGTAATTTGTGAAGAAAGATGGAGGAAAATGGGGGCTTAAATTATTTTGGAATTTTTGCTACTTTTTTTGTTCTTTTTGGTGGGCACCCATTGTTTTGGTGCCTTTGTTTCTTTTGCTTATGAACAAGTCTTGTACAGAGAAAGCACGTGGCTGTGAATACAATTTATGAAGTCATTAATTAATCTGTGAATTTCGTAATAGAATATTGGGGGGCGTGTGATTATGTTTATTAAAATAAGAAATAACAACGTTTTGGTTCACATATTCAGAATTATTTTTAATTTATATGTGAGTTTTATAAGAGAAAATATTGTAATAAAGTATGAATTATAATTTAAATTTTGAATAATGTTATGAATTCTCATACTAATCACTTTAAATCAAGAGTTTATATTTTCATAAGTTGTAGATTAAACAAAAATGAAAAATACTAGGGTTTGGCAGGCGACACTAGTGTTCACGCGCGTTATGATTTAAAATTATTTTTGATTTATGTGTGTTTTGTGAGAGAAAAGATTATAGCGAATTACGAATTATGATTCAAATTATAGTACGAATTTACTAATTAAACGCACGCTAATTAACCTGTGTATTTCGTAATAGAATATTGGGGAGCGTGTGTTTATGTTTATTAAAAAAAGGAATAAGAACGTTTGGTTCACAGATTCAGAACTATGATTTAAAATTATTCTCAGTTTACGTGTGTTTTTTGTGAGAGAAAACATTGTAGCGAGTTACGAATCATACTTCGAACAATGTCACGAATCCTCATACCAAACACCCTCTTAAATCAAGAGTTTATATTCTCATAAGTTGTGCAACTGCATGATTATTTTATAAGAGATTAAACGAAATGAAAAATGCTAGGATTTGGCAGGCGACACTAATGGTATTGCATGCGCGTTAATCCCTGTTATGATTATAAATAAACACATCAATAGATGAGGGGAAATTATTTTTAGTTCTAATTTTCTCATTCATATGAAATAACGACGCCCCATAGAGCCTTTTTTTTTGTTTTTTTAATTAAAAAAACAATCATGTTAAGCATCTAAACATTAGATAGTTTTATGTGGAAACATCACAATTACATGGTTATCAATATTTAAAAATAAAATACAACCAGTAATGCTAATGTCACTGAGATAATCATTAATTCATTAGTACTTTTTTTCCCTATAGAGTTCATTAGTACTTAGATATGAAAGTACGTGACTTACCTAGCTACTAATTACATACATGAACAGTGATACACATGAAAAATTTTATTCATGGTACACGTACTAAACCTCAGTAGTTTTTGTAATATTGAATTACTATTTTGTTTAAGTTATTTTACTGTTCTTAACTAATATTTAGGGCTGTTCGGCAACTATGGGCTTGTTCTTTTGAGTGAAAAACTCAAAAAAAGACAACTCGAGTTACAACTTTATTCGAGTTCATGTTCTTTTAAGTTTAAACTCTAGTTCAAACTCGAGTTTAGAACTAAAACTCGAGTTCAAATTTCTCCTTCAACTCGAGTTCAAAAACTCGAACTCAAATTAATGAACAATATTTTTTCTATTCTTAAAAATGCTATAACTTTTTCGTTTTAATTCTGATTGAGATGATTTTTTTTCTATGCGTTGACAACGAAAAGACGAATAAAACCCGACCCATATACCCTATTAAAATTTTTCATCAACATTGAGTTTTTATTAAAATACTATATAAATACAAATTCAAGTTTTGACTCACTTAAACACAAACTCAAAAAGATTCTTATCTCAAACCATAACTCAAATGTACACAACCAAACACAAACTCAAATTACAAGTTCAACTCCCCGTTCATTTCGCTGATTCGAGTTTAGAATTCAAGTTTTGCTACAATAAAAAGCTCTCACAAACAATCACATTTAACTTTTTTGCTACAGTAAAAAGTTCTCACATAAAATCACATCTCAACTCGAATCAGCGAACTAAACGGGCCGTTATAACTCAAATTCAACTAAAAAATTATACTCAAGTTAAACTCTAAGGCCCCGTTCATTTCGCTGATTCGAGTTTAGAATTCGAGTTTTGCTACAGTAAAAAGCTTTCACAAACAATCACTTCTAACTTTTTTACTACAGTAAAAAGCTCTCACATAAAATCACATCTCAACTCGAATTAAAAACTCGAATCAACGAACTAAACGAGCCAAAGAACAAGCCCTATGTTTTTGAGTGAAAAACTCAAAAAAAGCAACTCGAGTTACAACTTTATTCGAGTTCATGTTCTTTTAAGTTTGAATTCGAGTTTAAACTCGAGTTTAGAACTAAAACTCGAGTTTAAGTTTCCCCTTCAACTCGAGTTCAGAAACTCGAACTCAAGTTAATGACCATATTTTTTCTATTCTTAAAAATGCTATAACTTTTTCGTTTTAATTCTGATTGAGATGATTTTTTTCTATGCGTTGACAACGAAAAGACGAATAAAACTAGACTCATATACCCTATTAAAATTTTACATTAGCATTGAGTTTTTATTAAAATACTATATAAATACAAATTCAAGTTTTGACTCACTCAAACACAAATTCAAAAAGATTCTTATCTCAAATCATAACTCAAATGTACACAACCAAACGCAAACTCAAGTTACAACTTCAACTCAAGTTATAACTCAAACTCAACTAAAAAATTTAACTCAAGAATACTTGTAAAAGAACAAGCCCTGAATAACTATTTTGTTTAAGTTATTTTACTGTTCTTAACTAATATTTAGGGCCTGTTCGGCAACTATAGGCTTGTTTTTTTGAGTGAAAAACTCAAAAAAAGACAACTCGAGTTATAACTTTATTCGAGTTCATGTTCTTTTAAGTTTAAACTCGAGTTCAAACTCGAGTTTAGGACTAAAACTCGAGTTCAAACTCGAGTTTATGACTAAAACTCGAGTTCAAGTTTCTCCTTCAATTCGAGTTCAAAAACTCGAACTCAAATTAATGAACAATATTTTTTCTATTCTTAAAAATGCTATAACTTTTTCGTTTTAATTCTGATTGAGATGATTTTTTTTTCTATGCGTTGATAACGAAAAGACAAATAAAACCCAATCCATATACCCTATTAAAATTTTTCATCAACATTGAGTTTTTATTAAAATACTATATAAATATAAATTCAAGTTTTGACTCACTCAAATACAAACTCAAAAAGATTCTTATCTCAAATCATAACTCAAATGTACACAACCAAACACAAACTCAAATTACAACTTCAACTCAAGTTATAATTCAAACTCAACTCAAAATCTACACTCAAATTACCTAACTCAAAAACATCAAAGAACAAGCTCAGTTTCATCATCTTTGTTTACAGTGACGGAGCCAGCCTTTCACTTCAGTGGAAGCGTACATTAACTTTTTTTAACAAATTATTTTAATGGGAGTATATAAAAAAATATATTTATTTTAATAAGACATATATTATTTCAGTAAAAATTTAAGTGTAAAATTTTAAAAATTTTAAAGATAATATTTTTTTAAAAAAAAAATTTGAATAGGAGCTGCTTCCGCTCATCTTCAAGTTGTTTGTTTGATTGTGATGTGTTAATATTTTTCTCTATCACTAGATCTCAATATTATGTAAATATGAATACCCGCTAAATGATCACCGCACATGTTCCCTTAGCCTCAATACTCTTGACACAGCACTTTTCAACAATAAATTATTAAAGATATTTTTATGGTAGGATTTGAAAAATAAACTGTCAGTAGGTTGATTTTTTAATAATTAAATTAATATTAAAAATGATTTATTTTATATTTTTGATAAGATTTAATAGTAAAATTCAAAAATCATGCAGGACCCTAATATTAGGTCCATTAGGTGGTTTGCTTTTTCGTATTAAATTCGTACACGTGAATCTAGAAAAGGGTCGCATTTTGAGAATAGTCGTGATTAGCATATTTTTTGAATATAAAAAAACGTATTCTTGAAAGCATCGTCGGAGAGGGGGTGTTGTGGGGACTCTTTTGTTTGGTTGTGTGTGGTGTGACGTGGAGGATTGGTATTACGAGGGTGTTTTGTGGGGGAGATTTTGAATGGTCCAAAAGGCTGACGAAAGGGAACAAAGTTAAGTTGGTGGGGCAATTTTGATAGCAACTAGTTGGGCTAAAAAGCCCAAAAGGGATGTACGTACAGAAAAACTGTTTTAAAATTTTAAGAGAACGCAGTAAATAGTAAATTTTTAAAATTAAATTAAATCAACAATAGATTTTAAAAATATTTAAAATAAATATTAATTTACGAGGTAAATTAATTATTTATCGCGTAAAAATTTATTTACGGTTAGTAAAATGTAATTTTTTTTTAATGATTTTTTACGATTGGTAAAAAGAATTTTTTTTATGTAAATAAAGATTTTTTTAAAATTTTTTATCGCGTAAGTTATTTTTTACCGTATAAATTACTATTTACTTTAGATTGTTTTAAAATATACTATTTACTTAATCTAGTTTTAAAAATATACTACTTATTACAATTTTCTTAAAATTTTTACCTTTTACTCTTCATTAATACTTTTTTAACTAATATAATTTTTTAATTAAAGAGTATTAATTAAGAATAATGAGTGAAAATCTAAAACACGTGAATTTGTCTCTTTTTTCCATATAATAGGAATTTGCACGTACATTCTGCAGATACACACACATACATATATACACACTGAATAATATTAAGAATACTAATTTAAATATCAATTTTTGTGTATTAACTTATGTAATATGTGAGTTGTTATTTTTACATTAATGAGTGTTTAAAATATTACCACTTCAATTAATGATAAAAGATTATATCTACTGATAAAAAATAATAATTCAAATATCATATCAATTAGTACATAAATAGTTGGGACTTGAGTTTGTGTTCCTACATTACTCATACACATTATATGAAAATCTCGTTTATTTTACTGATTTAAATTTTATTATAATAAAAAATTTTAAAAAATAATTATATTTAATTTTTTTACTATAATAAAATTTTTTTTACATAAAATTATATTTTAATTTAAATTAAAAATTCGAATCAGTCAAGAGTATGAAAGGAAGGAATGCTTGTGTTGAGTTTGATGTGTTTTGGTTTTAATTAGAGTACGTTTAATTTATGTATTCAGAATCATAATTTAAAATTATTTTTATTTTACGTATATTTTTTATAAAAAAAATATTATAAAAAATTATAAATCATGATTTAAAATTAAAAATGAATATAAGAAACAAACGTCATGTTAGTCCTTGAAAGGTAAAGCCAATGGTGAGCAAACGCGGGTACAGTTGTGGCAGAGCTATGTATATGTAAGGTCTGTTTGCGTTTGTGTCATAGAATGACATAATCGTCTCCAAGTGCTTACACGCCTCTTACTATTGTAATTGAACGTCTAAATTGGTAAGTAGGAAAGAAAATAGGATAAAAATATATATATATATATAAGTGATAAAAAATAATAATGATAGAAAGAAAATTATTTTTTTTTATGTTATTTGGTATGAAAAGATAAAAAAAAATTAATTTACTTTCACTTGTTTAGTATTAAAAGTTAAATTAAGAGTAAAAAAAAAATCTTACTCATAAATTACTTTTATACTCTTAAATTTTTTTGCTTGAATGTTGATGAAAAAAATAATAATTTAATAACTTTACTCATTTTAATGAGTTGTCCTCATTTTCTATCCACTTGTAGAAAGAAAAAAAATAATAAGATTCACATGTATTATTTTTCACTCTAATTTCTCTTCCTTTCTCTTTTCTCTCTTATCAAACAACTTACATTTTTATTTTCCCTCCTAAAATCCCTCCGGCTTCTCTCTTCCTTCTACTTTTCTTTCCTAACGAACATACTCTAATAAAGTCGTTGTCCTTACCCCTCGGTGCTTCATCCTTTGGACGAGGTCCACTCAGCGGTTTAGACTCTTTCAACGTACATGTACGGTTGCTGACGTACGTAATAGTATTGCCAAGTATCAGTCACTACCATGCTTCTTACCCAAAAGAAAAAAAAAATTCAAAGATGTCCTTAAGCTATGTACCCTTATTTAATATGTTTCTAAACTTTAATGAAGATTTATTTAGAGCTCATTTAAAGTTTCGTTCATTTTATCGATTTAAATTTTTAATTTTAGTTTTCTACAGTAAAAATCTCTCAAAAAATGTCGCATCTAACTTTTTCTGCTACAGTGAAAAGCTCTCAGAAAATGTCACATCTCAGCTCGAATTGAAAACTCGAATCCGCAAAGTGAACGAGGCCTAATAGTTTATTGATTTGAATTAAAATGTAATTTTATGTGAAAATTTTTTACTGTAACAAAAATGTTAGATGTGATTGTTTCTGAGAGCTTTTCACTGTAACAAAACTCGCATCGGTAAAATGAACGATACCTTAATTCTCTAAATTACGAAAGGAAAGATTCTCTAGTACGCTTGACGTACTGATAGGTTAAGTTTTTTTAACTGTTAGATCTGCATACTTTTTGACTTTTACGTGATTTTATACAGATCCGACAGACATAAAACCTGACCTACCTATATGTTGACATACCGAAAAAAATTATTTACACAAAATATTCAAAAATAACACATCCATTTATAAAACTAAAAAAATGATTACGTGACACTACTTATAATTTTATAGATGTCCCTCCATCTATTTATTTAGTTTAACTTGTCCTTTTATTGAAAAGAAAAGTATGAGTTGATATAAAATCAATAAGTCGCGGGATACTAATGAAATATAATCCGTTCATCAAGCATTTTGGACGATTTTATCTAGTTCATAAATGAAATGAAGCCTTTTTAAAATTTAAATGACATGTTAACTATAGTATATAGTTCAATGTATTATATGCAATTAATAAAGAATAAAATGAAATAAAAGTTCACTAGCTTGCATACGGGACTCTTAACAGAATAATTTTTAGAGTGTAAATAAGCGAAATTATTTGACTCTCCATGTTAACAAAGAGTGAGGGTTCGTTTAGCACGATGATTTAAACCAGAGTGATTCTAATAATGATTCTAAAACCAGAACCATGATTCATGATTTTAAGTTAAAATCATGATTATGAAACCATGATTCAGAATTATGAGTTTAAATCACTTTGAATTAAGAGGGGAGGGGTGGTTTTAGAATAATGAGTGATTCTAGTTTAAAATATCATATCAGATTTCAAATCATGATTCAGAATCATCCAAACCAAACACTGATTCAAAATCACTGTAAACAACCACTGATTCTAATTTAAGATCCAGAATCATAATTCTAAATCTATCTACCAAATGAACTCTTAGTCTCATTGAGGTGAGATCCACTTGCTCTATTTTTATGGTAAAGTAATGTATTTGAATACGAACTCTCTAAAAGGGGTTAACTCTTGTTTTGCAAGAGATACAATATGCTAACAAAAAGTAGTTCCAACTATTCATTGTCATAAATATGCATATTTCTAACATCATATTTTATTATTTAAAATCATGCCAATTTAACATGATCTAACAAGAAAATAAACCTTATGCATTAAAATTATAGCAGTTAAGTTGTTTTAATTGAAGTTCCTTAATTCTATGCCTCTGATATTTATTTGATTTATGAATAAGAATAATAAGACTATACTTTATGTGTTCCTAAATAGTATATTTAGTAAGAATACATAAGTTTTTCAAAAAAAAAAAAAATACTTGGTACAACAATTCCAATCCCAATTTTTTGTCCTAATTCTCCAGCTATCATTCTTTTACTGTCAAGTGTTTAAAAACTGTACACATCAAAAAATAATAAGAGGTTTCATCTATGCATATAAAAAAAAAAACTCAAAAGTTAATATAAAAATTGAGATTAGATTGGTATCTCTAGCATTTTTTTTTTTCAACAATTGGCATAATTAAGTAATTTGTACTTTTTTGTATAAAAATTATATTTATTTTTGGGTGCTCTGTGTTAATTTTCCTCTCAAGATTTAGAAATTTTAAAAGGTGTAGCATGTTTTTTTATTCGCACCTTTACAGGTACTCCTCAAAATTGCAGTTTCTAATTCGTGAATGTATGAACCGGTTAAAAGGGGCAATACAATATTTTTCATAGTTAAATGTTGGGCCAATCCTAGTTTATAGTCCTTGAATTCTATTTTTAATTCATTTTGGTTCATAATTTTTAAAATGTTGAAAACTTAATCTCAATGTATCAGTTGTTTCTGTTTTAGTCGCTTTTATTAATTAGGTGTTAAAAAAAAACAAAATATGCACATAATTATGACCTGAAAAATGCAAAAATAACACTACTAACTAAATATCATCAACATTATGTTATCTAGTTAACCTCAATTGATGAAACCATCTAAAACAGTAATAAACTAACAAATTGAGGTTAAACATAGGACGTTAAAGAGTCATAGATTAAAGTGGAATTAACAACAAAATCTAGAGACTATTTATTAGTATACATTATTAAAACTCATAAAAGCTATCACTAAACACAAGAAGCACCAGTGGTCTAGTGGTAGAATAGTACCCTGCCACGGTACAGACCCGGGTTCGATTCCCGGCTGGTGCATTTCAAGTTGAACTATGATGAATTAAGCGCTGAGTGTGATAGGTGGGGTCTATCACAACCGTCCGATTCTTCCGACGAAATCAAGCGCATCTGAGCTTTAACTATTTTTTTTTATTAGCATCAATTTCTAACCTCTGATGATAATTTTTGATAAAAAGATCCTTAAACTTTTAAAATATTATAATTTAAACAATCATCCATTTGTGTTAAATTTCTAAAACCGTCCGATTCTTCCGACGAAATCAAGCGCATTTGAGCTTTAACTTTTTTTTTTAAAATTAACATCATAGTTTCTAACCTCTTATGATAATTTAATCATATTTTTTTAATTTTGATAAAAAGGTCCTTAAGCTTTTAAAATATTATAATTTAAACAATCATCCATTTGTGTTAAATTTCTAAAACTCTCCGATTCTTCCGACGAAATCAAGCGCATCTGAGCTTTAACTTTTTTTTTTATTAGCATCAATGGTTTCTAATCTCTGATGATAATTTTTGATAAAAAGATCCTTAAACTTTTAAAATATTATAATTTAAACAATCATCCATTTGTGTTAAATTTCTAAAACTGTCCGATTCTTCCGACAAAATCAAGCGCATCTGAGCTTTAACTTTTTTTTTTATTAGCATCAATGGTTTCTAATCTCTGATGATAATTTAATCATATTTTTTTAATTTTGATAAAAAGGTCCTTAAACTTTTAAAATATTATAATTTAAAAAATCATCCATTTGTATTAAATTTCTAAAACCGTCCGATTCTTCCGACGAAATCAAGCGCATCTGAGCTTTAATTTTTATTTTATTTTTATTAGCATCAATGGTTTCTAACCTAATTTAATCCTATTTTTTTAATTTTGATAAAAAGGTCCTTAAACTTTTAAAATATTATAATTTAAACCAATTCGTCCATTTGTGTTAAATTTCTAACGGATTCTTACGTGTGACTTCGCGTCCTTTTTTATGTTCAAAGACAAATATGCCTTCAAGCTCACACCTAAAAAAAAAAATAAAAACAAAACAGCAAAACTCCTTTTCTGAAGGAAAAAAAAAAAAAAAACTCAAAACCCTTTTTTTCTTCTCTCTCCCACTCTCGATTCATCATCAGTGTCGACGACCAGAGGCCGTCGGAGATCTCGAGAATTGGGTCTCGAGCACGGGTTCGCCAAGCTCTGCGACTGAGGGCGGCGGGAACTGGTGAAGAAAGTACCAGATTTGCAAAGTATAAGAAGAAACTTACCGCCATTGACGAGCTTGGAGAAGCGTAGCTGAAGGGCGGTGTGCTTTTTCGTTCTCGCTTCCTCTCTTCTGCTTCAGAGTGTAAGGTCATTATTTTCCCATCAAGTGTTGGAGTGCTGAAGATTTGTTGGCTTGAGGTTGTTTTCCCCTTTTATTGAATTTCGAATGCGGTTTATTCAATTCTCATTTGGTCCATGTGAAAATTTTACAAATTTTTTGTTTTAATTTAGTTTGTTGTGAAGGTTGTCGGATTCTGTATATACATATATGTATATATTGTTGTAACGTAGCTTAGTAATCATGTAAACACGGTTAATTTGTTTGTTATGTTCATTTTGACCCAAATAATTTGAAATTTGCTTAATTGTAGCGTTCTGTTAAGGTTTTCATTTCTTTTCTTCTTCCGTGAAATTAAAGAGGTTTCGAGAAGCTAGTTTCTGAAACTCAGTTACTTGGAAATTTCATGTCAGGATTATGGTAAGTATTTCAGGATTCGAGTGTTTTATTAATGTATAAGATCATTATTTTACTAAAATTCCTTGAAAATCCAGTCACATCCATCGCACATGAGATATTCTGTTAAATAAGTAACAGAAATGGATGGAAAGGTTTAAATCGCTAAACATGGCATCGTTTACTTCGCGGATTTGAGTTTTCAATTCGAGTTGATATGTGATATTTTTTAAGTACTTTTCATTATAGCAGAAAAAGTTAGATGTCATATTTTTTGAGAGTTTTTTACTGTAAAAATTTAAAACTAAAAATTTAAATGGTGAAATGAACGAGGCAAGTTCGTTTATTTTGTTGATTTGAGTTTAAAATTTAAATTTTATTATAGTAAAATTTTTTTAAAAAATAATCACATCTAATTTTTTTGTTACGATAAAATATTTTTATATAAAGTTACATCTCAACTTAAATTAACGAATTATACAGAATATAAGGATTATTTTATCAAAATTAAAAAATAAGAATTAAATTGTCATTTAGTGAAGATCAGATCAATGATATCAATTACTTTTTTTTGTCCCCTCTCTTCATTGTGTAATATTTGGGACGTTTTCTCCTTTTAAGTTTTAAAAATTCTTTCTCATCACAAATCAAAAACTGACGTTATAGGGGTCAAGTACCAATTCTAATTATTGGGTTGGTTCAATCATTTATGACGCAAGAAAGATGTTTAGCAAAATACAACGTTATATATCTCCCAAAATTTTCGAAGCAAGAAATTTATTAGATTTTTGTTTCTAACAATTACAATATAAAATATAAATTTTTTAAGGATAGACGGTGTTTCCTTATGTTTTTGAATATTCGATTCGGTCAAATAAAATACAAAGTAACAAAACCTTTTACTTATATGACGGATTAAAATAAAACCCTACTGTAATGGTATTTTTTCACACTTTATCTTAAAATCATCATATAAAATAACTTAAAAAGGGCATGGATACTTTATTATTTGTCACAAAGCATAAGATATATGCTCCAATAAACGCTCCATTGCCATATAATTAAAGCTCCATTACAAGACAAGAGGAATATTACAAGCTTAATTTTCTCGCCCCAAAAAGAATTGATACAAAACAGGCTTAATTGTTTTTTGCCCCAAAAGAATTAATACAAAACTGGCCACTAGAAGAGACAAATGAAGTTGGAAGGGAAGCAAGAAACTTGTTTTATAGCAAACAAGAAAAACAAGAAAAAGGTAATACCAACCTTCAATTTTACTGCCATCTTTTACTAGGAGGCTTCACTGAAAGAGAGCTGGCACTAGGAGTTCTCTTCATACCTGAAAAGAGCAGCAATTGTTGGGAAAAACATTAATATCTTTCTATTAAGAGTAGTAATTGATCATATATATGTATCTTATGTACCAAGAAGAACAAAATGCTTAAATTTTACATACTTGATGAAACCTTGGAGATGCCTTTTGACAATGAGGAAGTACTCGACGTAGTTTGCTCAGGTTTCCGAGAGGGTCGAGAAATTTTCGACACAGTCCCGGGCCTGCATAGAACAAAATTTTTGCTTAATTAGAATCCTAGGTAAGCACAAGTTCAGATTTAGGTGATTCAGCAATTGAGCAAAGATATGTAAAAACTTTTTTAGTCTTTGTTTTTGGCACATTGTAGGAAATCTTATTGTACAGCATCAAACACCTTATGGTACTAATTTGTATTACAAAAGCAAAACAGTTCATTGCAATCTGTCAGACAAAAGGACAGGAATTAATTTCCCTTGATAAATTTACCAAAGCAATATTAAGAACACCAAGAAAAACTCACTTATCAGAGTTATTAGACCTTGTGCCTCCATCCGCGAAAATAGCATTCTCTGCGGAGCCATCAGTTAATTCTGTTCCCACAGAAAGACCACCATCAGAAATGTCACTTAATCTCTCCTCAGTATCTGCATCATCTTCAAATCTTAATATCTCATGATCATGATCATCTGTAGGAATGTTCTGACCTATGTCATTTTGGTGTTTAGTGTCCTCATCATCCTCCTCCTTTGACTGCTGGGAATCAGCTTCTTCGGAATAGTGCTTATCACTGTACTCCGCAGAGTTGTCGTGCTCAGAACCTGCTTTCTCAGTGAGTCCTAAGCCTTCGCTGCTTGACGGCTTTTGGCTTTTCTGAGGAGATCCTACTATAGATTCTCTGCTTGAAGATGCAGAACCGTACCTTAACAACGAGCCTGATCCACGTCTTTCGCCATCGGTTGCAGGATACACGTTTTTAAGATCTTTAAGCAATTGCAGTCTCTCAATCTCTTCATCCTTTTTTGCAATGGTGTTCTTTAGAGAAGCCACCTGCATGGTTAACAAAACTTATGTTCCGACTTGAACTCTTTAAGTAAGAAGTAAAGGATTCACTTTACTTTGGTCATTTGGGGTGATTTAAAAAATTCGGAAATGGAAACATGAATATTCTTCCATTCCGCGACATGGAAGCTACAGACTAAGTTCTTCATAGCCATGTTACCAATTAATCAAGACCACTTCTTTGGTATTTTTCATCTTTTTCAGAAAGAAGGATGATCCATTAGCAATTCTCAAAATTATCTTTGACAGGTTCTACATATTTGGTCCTCGGAGGAAAGGACGAGTAAAAGGGACACTGATTAATTCTTATTCAAATTTGAAATTATGTCTGAAGAAAGACAAGTAAATGTATAAGAGAAGAACCTGCTCCACTAATTCCCTAACATCTCTTCCCTCTTTATTGCTCTTTGCAGCACCCAGCTCAACTCCAGAGACCCTTTCAGCAAACCTCAAAGTACTTAAAGTTTCGGAATACGAATTCACATCAGGATTAAGCTGCACAAACATTAGTGCTTTTGCCTGTCCACCTATTATAGAGTAACAAGGAAATATTGTAAGCAATATAAAAATCTCATGCAAACTATAACGCAATACATAAAGCAGAGTATGACTATGAAAATGGCACCGGAAAAAAAAAAAAAAAAAAAAAAAAACCTAGAGAGCTTTGTAGAACTTGAGTGAGCTTGCTATTTCTGTATGGAACGTGAGGACTCTTTTGTGCTAGAGAGAAAATGACATCTCCAAGAGCAGATAGTGATTTGTTTATGTGCTGTGCTTCCTTGAGTCTATCACCAGTTACTTCTGATCGATCTACTCTTTCGCTTCCTGCAAGATCTACCAGATGCAGATTACCAAGAAAAGCAGCGCCAGTCTTCAAATCCAACCCGCGAACATGCACAGTGACGCAACTGTACACACACATCTAAATGAAAATCACAACTCAATCGAAAACTCATAATACTTGATGGAAATAGAGCTAAAGAAAAGAAATGGTGTACATCTTTTCAACGAAATCATCGCAATTTTCCAACAATTTATCAGGACGTGTTAAACAAATATGCTAACAAAGATTAGAGAGTAACAAACCTATGCGAACGGCTACTTCTTTCGTTAAGTGCAGTGGCGCCAACAGACCTGTTCTTTAATCCAATATCCATCAATTCTATGACATCTGAGGTTGATTTCACAGGGTGCATGCTGGCATCAGGTATAGCTAACCCATTGGGTTGAGACTGGGTCAAAATCCCAAGTGTGTGCAAATCAAGGGAAACATGATGATAGTAATGAAAGTATTCAAGTGCTACACTACATTCAAAGAAAACACATTGCTATGAAGAAAAACATGTATGGAAAGAATTTTGTTTATAGTCAACAACGAATTTGGAGTATATTTCTACAGAAAAAGGATATTTTTTCTGAGAACCATCACTTGATAGCAAATCCCTCACTTGCTCATTGTATATTTCAACCATTTGGACACCAATTTCATATGTTATGGAGCTTCTTCTATTCTGAGAGATTGCAAATAGATCATTCAACGCTCGGTAATTTACTCCCCAATTGTCTTTGGATGCAGCATTGGGACCCGTCTGAAAGTAATAAATCAAAAACCAGTTACTATTTTTTGGTTTTTGATTTTTTTTTTTTTTTTGTTTAAGTACATCATGAACAAAGTTGAGATTTGAAAAGAAGGTCTATACCATTGTGTATGTCTTCCCTGAACCAGTTTGACCATAAGCTAATATGCACACATTATATCCATCAAGAACGGACCGTATCAATGGCTGTATATCAGAAAATACCTCCGCTGCCAACAATCAAAGGAGTTAGTTATGTTAGTTAGGATTTAGAGTACTTATCACAACACACACGTTTATGAAAATCATTAGTATTTATACAAAGACCTTGATTTGTTAAATAATAACCAAGTAAGATGAAACAAAATGAAAAGAATGCAGGAGAAAACCTTGAGTTGAAGATGGACCAAAGACCTTGTTAAATTTGAACAACCGCTGACCTTCTTTCCCTGCTTTGGAGGGATTTGCAATTATCAACTCCCCATTTTCATCAATACGTTCTACGGTTGTCTTTTTTTCTTTTTTTCCTGGTAAGAATGGCCTTATCCGACAATATACTCTAATGTTTCCTTTGCAAAGAAAATAAACATGTCAATTCAAAAACTGCATTAGATATGTATAATAAAAAAAGATAAAGATGAATCAAGTAATGTCACCCCTTAACTCCTGAAGTTCATTGAACATCTTCCGGTTTTCGGCAAGAAGCGAATGGTAGTTCTGAGCTGCGTCAGACAATGCTTTAAGCTTGACTCCTGAAAAGGCCACAAATTATGTGAATATTCTATCATAAACTGTATGACAATGATGAAAGTGGCACACTTTTCTGATTGAAATTCCCACCTAAGCTACTAAATTCCTCAGCATAGCTCTCTTTTGCTTTAATAATTTCTTGCTTGATTGAGTCCGAAGATAATCTCAACTCCTGAATTTACACAAGTATTGCAAAATGACATAATGTTAAAATAAGAAAACAATTAAAGATAAAGAGTAGAAGGGTATATAAAGCTTACTCGCAATGCACCAAACTGAATTTCCATAAAGCTTTGGTAGGTGTTCTCTTTTTTGCTCCAACTTTGGCATTTCGTCTCAGAATATGACTCTAGCTCTAGCACCTTGTTCTTTAAATCTGCCAAGAGGAGCTCAAGTTCTTGTAACCTTTCTTCAAGCACAGATTTAACATCCTTTGCATCTTTTTCGTGTTCTAAGCAACGCATTTCATAACTCTTCATGGTTGTTTCCAACTCTTGCTTTAATGCTGAAATTTCCAGATTGCTTTGATCCTTCTCTTTCATCAACCTGCTTAAGTTCTCATCCTCAACTTGCTTCTTTTCTTCCCTATTGGTCTTCTCATTCTGCAGTAGGAACAAAGGTAATGCTAAAGTACATTATGAAACGCATCCACAAGTTTAGAGGTTTGAAATAATTGCCTTAAAAATGGCATATTAAAGATGGACAAATTACAAAAGTGTCAACTTGTTGCGCGATTTTTCGAATGAGCCAAAAACACTCCATGAGCTTGAGAAAAGTGACAAGTTAGTCCTTCGGTCTGTTTTCCGTCCAAAAAATAGCATCGGACAGACACACGACTTCACATGAGGTTTTTCGCCTATTCTTTGGCCTCAAACAGATGGAAGGACCAATATTACTGCTTTTATCAAGTTCAGGGGGTGTAGTTGGCACATTTGACAAATCAGGTAGTACGTTGATACTAGTGGGAAAATCAATGATGCATTTTTGTCCAATAAAAGAAAGAAGAGGAATGGTGTTACTAGATGGAAAACAGATGACAAGCAAGACAAGGATAAAATAAGACATTATGCCTTTGAGCCACACCTTCATTCTCTGAAGCTGATTCAAAACAATCTGGAAAAAAAAAAAAAAATCATTTAATAATAAAATAAAAATATTGGTAGCATTAAAGTACCTGTGTTTCAAACCCAAATATCATACCTCACTTTCTTCATTAGTCCCAGATGCAAGAGCTTCAAGTACTCTAATTCTAGATTGGTATTTCTCTTCACGAGCCTTGAAAAGGTTGTTTTGCTGCAGGCAAAAAAAAAAAAAAAGGATAAAGAGATTGATAAAGAACATTCTAAAAGAAACCACAAAATCAATAACAATAATATGAACATGTATTACAGTTCTCAAGTGCTCCGCTTGAGTGGAGATACGCCTTTCGATCTCCTGCACAACCTTTCGCAACAAGCATGCCACGCGCTGATCGATCAACGAAGACAACAAAATCAGAGAATCAGAGAATATCTAGTTGAGCAAAGAAGACTTAAATACATGCTTAAGAACACGTACATGAGGTATTTCACTGTTCTTTCTCTCAACACTTTCATCAAGAATTCCATTCACAACACTCAGAAGTGACTGAGTTGGCGCGTTCTGCAACAACAGATGCTGAAATGCATTAAAGATACATTGAACTCAAGACGTCGTCAAAAGAAACGGAGTCACGTCAGAAAGTCCGCGGATAAGATACTTACATCCAAGTTGTTTGATTTCATCATCTCCGAGATTTTGGAAGCGGGGAGATCCATGTAGTGTCCTTGTTTCAGTTGAAACACCTCGTGGAATTTGTGACCAACATGATGTGCTAAAGCAGCTGATGGTTCTGTGGGAAAGAGGAAATTGCATTCAAGTTTTTGCTGTTAAACATATATAAAGAATGTTGTTTTACAAGATCTTCTAAAGACTGGCCACATCACATTTCCACTTGTTATACATTGTAATTAATCTTGATTAATACTTAATTCTATATCTGCCATAACATTAGATGTGTTGAGATCTCGTTCATTTCACTGATTCGAGTTTTTAATTTCAGTTTTGCTATAGTTAAAAGCTTTCACAAAAAGTCACATCTAACTTTTTTACTACAGTTAAAAACTCTCATATAAAGTCACATCTTAACTTGAATTAAAAACTCAAATCTACAAACTGAACGAGGCCTGAGAAACGTACCTGACATAACGGGACTTTTAAATGCACGCTGAAATTTCGACTCGGATAATCCTTTCCTCTTCTCTTCTCCTAATAACGGCGGAGAAAAACCACCCCGCAGGCTTTCAGCTTCGCCATTACTTTTTATAACGATTTTTTCAGAAGGATCACCATTCGAGTTTCCACCATATACTTTTGTTTGGTAATCCATTATGGAATTGACGACACCAAAATTATGGGCTAACAATATGGATTTGAATTAGTCATCCATGTATAACCATTTCCAATATGAAACAATGAAACATAGATAATCGGGTTTTATTTTGTTAGGGACTCGGAGACAAGGGTTTTAGTTTAAACTTTTTTGTTTTTTTGTTTTACATTAAATCATATCCAAATATAATGTGCTATCCCAACAACAAAAAAAGGAAAAAAAGAAAACATCATTTCAGGTGTAAGATTCATACAGTTTATTTTACTTCCTTGACATACTACTGCTACAGAACAAACCAACTACAATACAGATATCTCTGATATGCTTTTAGTTCAACTAAAGGGGAAAAAAGAAAATAAAAATCCTGAATTATTTTAGTTGTGCAGATTTTGTGTTTGTCTTCACGAAATTTCATATGATTCTATGATAAAATAAGCTTCTGACAGACAAGAGATACTTCCAACCTATCTTTACATATTCAAAGTTTGGTCATCAAGACTTAAAAACCCAAAGCTCCAACAGTATTACTATGTTTGATGAACAAGAATTGAAAAACAGTTTAACAGTCTTACAATGAAATCTGGAAACAGTTCCTTCTGCGCCAAGCAAAATCGTCTATGTACGACTTCAGCTCTGCATGTAATGGAAAAATTTATGGAACGAAAAGTTAACGATCAAAATGCATCTTATCATGACGATTGCAAAAGCTTATCAATGAATTGTTAGACATTATATGTACACATTATATATATATATATATATATATATATTAGGAAATAAAAACATGAGAAAAAGGATGTATTCACCCAGAAATCTTCAACCAGATTCAATACCCAGAAAAAACTAAGAAGCCTTATTTACACAACACAAATTGAGATATCAACTTTCAAGAAAGTTTACTAGGAAGATTAATATTAAAAAAAATGAAAAATGAAAAAAAAAACTCTGGAACATGTTCTGAATTGGGGTTTTTCATACATAAGAAAAAGAAATACGCATTCAAGAGCTTGGTATTCGTGTGAAAGTACAAATAGAAATCAAGAAAACGAAAAGAAATTAGTTTCTCAATCTCCACATCTTCGAATATTCATCAGGAACTATATACGTGACAAGTAAAACAAAATACAGCTGAGAGATTATATATATATATATAAAAGGAAGTTAATCCAATAACATACCACGAAGAAAGAAATTAGTATCCTCAAAAATCTTGATTTACCAAAAATGAATGAAAATGTGAAAATCGAAAGTAAATGGAACAAAACCAATGTGAGAGCATTGTCGGCTCAAGAGAAAGGGCCACAACTACCTGAGGCCCTCCTTAAATCGAGGCTCCTCATTATTAGGATCATCATGAGGAGTGTTAAATACAAACTTCAATTTCAGATTCTTATTTGAATGCCATCTTCTTATTTTGACAAGTGTTTTCTTGATTTTCTCAAACAACCGTACTTAATATTTAATAAATTGTCATTTTTTTTTTCTATAAATGAATTTACAATTGTAATCCTTTATCTCTGTTTAACGATATCTACTTCCATTATTTAAAAAAATATAACCAGACTTATATTCCGCCTTGTTTCTTTTGCCAATTAATAAATACGAGATGCCACCGTCCCATGCAAACTGCTGAGTTTAAAGGCTTGTAACAGTGATATTTATCAATTTGCTCCAAAAAATAAAGTTCACTTAGAATCGTAAATAGAAAAAAAGAAACTTAAATAATTTTATATGGGTAAATTAGGAAATTGCATGTATATAGGCCTTTTTTATTTTATTTTATTGAAATGCTATATAGGCCATTTTTTTTTTTTTTTTATAAAGAAAACAGACAATTTCATTGAAACAAATCAACTTAGAAAAAAGAAGAAATAAACCGGGGAATAGCATCAAAATAACTTAAGTCTAATATAGAAATATTAACATGTGACGCCAGGATTTGAGCAACAAGAATACTCTCTCTAGGAACATGAGCACATTTTCAATTAGAGACAGCCGAGAGTAACCCAACAGGCGACCTTCTCGCTATATTAATCTCCAAATTGCAAGATCTAGCAAATAGGAGACCTTCTCGTAGTGCTAAGCATTCAGCAACAAAAGGCGAGAACGAACCTGGAATTTTTTTAGCCATGTAAGCCAAAACCACTTCAGAGTGATCTCGGATCAGAGCACCTGTCGCAACCAATCCAACTCCTTCTCGCACTGACACATCTGAATTTAGTTTCAGCAAACCTTCAGGGGGAAGCAAACCACTTATGAACTGGCTTAGCCCGAATCTGACTTTTCTCTATTTCCATACGCGCGCAGGTGTGAAAATCTCCAAGCACCCTAGCAGCCATCTCCAAAACATCCCTCGCTGTACGCCTAACTCTTTGATGCACTAAATTATTTCAGTTCGACCAAATAGCCCAGGCTATTACACAGAAGATCTCCATCTCCGCATTTGTGACAGAATGATTAAAGGAGTGGCCTCGAAGGACTTAACTAGAACCGATTTCAGCTTTGGCCAAAGAGCACACGAATCCCAGATTTGCAACACCTGAGGACACTGCCATAGCGCATGCCAAACCGTTTCCCGGGACTCCAAGCATCTCATATACACCTCCTCACATGGGACTTCACGAGACTTAGGTGGACGTTTGATTTATAGATTCAGAATCATGATTTAAAATTATTTTCGTTTTACGTGTATTTTTTGTGAGAGAAAAATATTATAAAAATCATAAATCATGATTTAAAATCAAGAAAGAATACAGAAAACAAACGTCCTCTAAAATTAATATAACATGGTAGCACCCCACGCACAGCACAACACATGAAAATTTTTATTTTGTTTCGAATCCGCAATCTCCAAAGAGTATTCCACCATCCCTGGCCATGCATTCCAGCCGATCCTCCTCGGTCATAATACAACCCCATTGTTAGCTTATACCCGGATTTCACGTGGCCTCGTTCATTTTATCGATTTGAGTGTTCAGTTCTAGGTTTCTACATTTTTTAAGAGTTTTTCACTCTAGCAGAAAAATTTAAATGTGACATTTTCTGAGAACTTTTTACTGTAGAAACGTAGAATTGAAAACTCGAATCTGTGAAGTGAACGAAGCCACAGTGTACGAGCCCTTAGAATCATAATGCCACATCCATTGATCCTCACTCACACTGTAAGTCAAGGGACTTCTTGATCTACTGGTGGAAAAGAAGCTTGGATAAATCCTTGATCCCACTGTATATTGACAATTAAATATTCAACCATTAAATCATCAATCCCTTCAAAAGGGGCTGTAATCGGCTTAAAAGAATGAGGTCTAGGTAACTATTGGTCAACGAAAACCTTGATAGTCCTCCCCGATCCCCTACGCCTCCACAACCCTTTAACCAATAACCATCATCTCCATAGGAGGCTCCTCCAAGTATATGAAGGATTATGACCCGCCTCTGCTTCAAGGATAGATCCATGAAGGAAATATTTAGCTTTGAGAACACTTGCTACTAGAGAATCAGGATTTTGAATTAATCTAGTTTTATTGAATGTTGACAATCTCGAAAGTCAATCCCACCTTCCCGCTTTGGTTTACAGAGCCATTCCCAGCGCATCCAATGGATTCTCCTGCCATTTTCATCCCTACCCCACAAAAACCTCGAACTAAGAGCTTGGATATCATTGAGGAACACGAAACACACTAAGAGTGTAAGTAGCCGTAGCTTGAGCAACAGCCTTAATCAAGATTTCTCTCCCCGCCATAGAAAAGAGCTTTCCTCTCCATATACATAATTTCCTCATCACACCATCCTTCACCATGTTAAAGGTAAAAATTTTATCGTTATAAAAAGACGACGTTCTATAGTAACAAAAATATATTAAATATGATATAAATTGAAAATGAGAAAAAATAGCAAAGAAAAGATTATACAAAACTCTATACAAATTATTCACACCTTAACTTCTTTTATTTATATATATATATATATATATATTTCATTAATTGAATTTTGTTTGGTGATTAAGGCAAAGTTCCATGAAAACCCCCGCCTTCTTTGAAATATCATGAACAGTTTCTGTAGGCTGAGCGCATTTTTCAAGGAAATATAGAATAACAGGAGCGTTTAAATAGGTTTGATTATTTATCGGATCATTCCCACAAATGATGGCAAGCCCAAGTACTTATCATGTGAAATGTTTGCCTTAATAAGACCGAAGCAGCCATTTAAATCTACCATTACATCTGCCTGCACGTTTGGGCTAAAAATAATCTTAGACTTTTGGAAATTAATTACCTGACCCGAAGGCTTAGCATAATCCTGCAGAACATCAACAATTGCTCGTCCCTCTTGTGGAGTGGCCTCGCTAAAGCCAATGGAGTCATCTGCAAAGAGAAGATGAGTAACTCTAGGAGCATGCCTAGCCACCGACACCCCCGATATAAGCCTTGAGGCATCCGCTCGCCATAAGAATGCAGACACGCTCTCTGCACGTGAAAGAGAGCTGAAATCATGCAAGTCTATCAAATTTTAAGAGTTCAACTTGACCTAAGAGGTTATTCTAATAGGTCTTGTGTCCTTTTGTGTATATAAACCACTTCACATTCTCATTCATTTTTCATGTGGGACAACACACATGCACTTTTTTCAACAATCTTATTCTCATGTGTGTGTTCACTGAGCTCCTCCTCAAACCAAAGTATCTAGTAGGCGGCACATCCAAGCAACACACTCTAAGCGAGAGCCAACTCCAGCATGAGAAAGAGAGCCGAAACCATACACAAAAGAAAAAGATAAGGAGAGAGCGGACAACCCTGGCATACTCCCCTAGAAGGCCAGCCCAGTCCTTGAGAGCTCTCGAAAAGCAAAAGAAAGCGAAGTGGTAGTAACATAGTCCATGACTAGTCTACGAAAACGATCACCAATACCCAGTTTCACTATCATTTGCTCTAAGAACGGCCATTCAATCCTGTTATAAGCCTTACTCATATCTAGCTTAAGACCCATCAAACCAACTTTCCCCCCACCTTACGCCTAATGGAATGCACCACCTCGAATGCCACAAGTACATTGTCGGAGTTAAGACGGCCCATGATAAAAGCACTTTATTCGAGAGAAATAATGAGCGACATGACCCTTTTAAGCTTGTTAGCCAAAGTTTTAGAGACAACTTTCTATGTCACATTACAAAGACTAATCGGCCTATAATCTAACAGCAATTTGCGATCCTTAATCTTAGGAATGAGAGCAACATTGGTTTCCATCGAGTCATGTGAGTTAAGAATCCGCAAGCAAGCTCTCACCAAATCTCCATCAACCAAAGCCCAGTTATGAAAAAGAGGGCATGAAAGCCATCCGGTCCCATTAACTTTTGAACGGATCTTGACGGAAAAGACTAGATTATACCTGTTTTAAACGGTTAGAGGTTGATTTGTCAAGAAAAAATTAAAGACTAAACAGTCACTTTACTAAATAGATTGGAGACTATTTGTGTCAATAAAACACACAAATGTTAAAAAATTTAAAATAATAATAAAAAAACCTAACGTAGATAGGACGACTAAAGATTTACTTCGAAATAATAAATAGAGTCCCGTTTAGTTCGTTATTCAAATTTTTAATTTAAATTAAAACGTAATTTTACTATAATAAATAAATTAAATGTGATTATTTTTAAAAAAATTTTAATATAATAAAATTCGAACTCGAATTCGACAAAATGCACAGGCTAAAACTTACATAGACCGACTTTTATTTCTAGTCTTTTCTGTCTTCCCTTACAACCAACTTCACCATCCTTATCTCTTCCCTCTCCAGAGAGTCGCCGGAAATAATCGACGATAAATTTCCAAAGGCTACCGGCGATTACGTCGATAGACTCTTTGTCGTCGGCCATTCTTCTTTGAACTTCACAAGCAGTGAATGAGGCTGTAGATCCGAACTTCTCGTTTTTCTCTCTGCTAGGTTTGTTTTTCCTCTATCTCTTACAGTCTTTATATTCTTTTTATCTCTCTCTCTAATTTTGAACTCAATTTTGTTCGGAACAGAAAGATGTTGAATCGATTTTGGATTGCCTTGCTTTTCGTGGTCTCATGGCACGTCGGTGTTCTAGATGCCAGTGCAGGTGATGTCGATGCACGTTACAGGTACATACATACATAGAAATTTGCTTGAGTAAAAATATTTTGGCAAGTTATTTTACATATAAAACTTTCCTATTAAGTTATTTTTACAAAGAGCTTTATACATACTTTTTTTTTTAAGTGGAATTATGTTTTTGGCAATTATCGTCAGGAATCCGTCATCTACAAAATTGAGAAGGAAGAAAAAAAAAGGAATAAACTCTACCTTTTGCACACACATTTTTCAGTTGTTGCGTTATAATTGCGTTTGGTTTTGTTCTTTAAAGATGTTGACGATAGAAGTCCTCCAACAGCCAAGAAATTAAACTTCGAATCAGACAAGCTAGTCAAAACGGATCAAAACAAGAAAAAACTCATGTAATGTAAATTGCAAGTGAAAAAGTAATGATTTATACTGGTTCGGCTTAAATTAGGCTGTTGGTTTCTTACTATTTGCAATTTGCATTACACGAGTTTCTTTGTTGTTTTGAACCATTTTGACTAGGTTTTCTGATTCAAAGTTTAGTTTCTTGATTGTTTGTAGAATTTCACCGTCAATGTTAGAAATTATTTATGTTGCCCTTATTATTTACCATAATTGGGTTGTTTGATTGTGTAAAATCTCAGCTTTTTGGATACACCTTTTAATTGACATGCCATTATTTCTTTTGGCTGTGTTGAGTAGAAATCAGTATGCTTGTCATTTATCTTGTGCTATTTCCTGTGTTTTTTTTTTTTTTTTCCTTTTTTGCATCCACGAAATGTTAGAAATTTGCATATGTTGCCCTTGTTACTGTAACAAGAACTAATAATTGGGTTCTTGGAATACTATTTTTATTTTTTATTGTTTTTTTATGTTTGTTTTCTAGGGCTTGTGTAAAAGAGTGTCAAGAAACTGGATGTGTAGGGGAAAGATGCTTTCCACACTGCAAATTCTCTTCAAAGGGTGTTCCATTTGACGGTCCATGGTACATGCAAGAGCCTCTTTATTTAAAGTGGAAACAATGGGATTGCCAAGGTGATTGCCGTTACCATTGCATGATAGATAGAGAGAAAGAAAGAGAGGCCCTTGGTACTGGTCCTGTTAAATATCACGGAAAATGGCCCTTCAAGCGTGTATATGGGATTCAGGTCCAATTCCTAATTACTATGACCGGGCAACAATTTATTTCCCTATTCATTTCGGATGTTAACTTAGTTTTGTAACATGTAATTTGACATGGCATTCGATTTATTCAGGAACCTGTTTCTGTTGTTTTCTCTGCCCTCAACCTTGCAATGCATTTTCATGGTTGGCTCTCCTTTTTCATCCTTTTGTACTATAAGTTGCCTTTGAAGCAAGATAGGAAGGCATACTATGAGTTTGCCGGTTTGTGGCATATCTATGGACTATTGTCACTGAATTCCTGGTTCTGGAGTGCCATTTTCCATAGTCGGTAAGACTCTTTATGCCTTTCTTTATCTCTGCCACAATCAATTCCCTGAAGGCAAAAAGAAATTAAAAAGTCGAGTGCCTGGTCCTGTCAACTGAGCTTGCATTTCCATCTTTCACAACACACACTCACACATATTCTCCTTTGTAGGTTATTTTATTGCTGTGTTACTGCATTTGTTTTAAGTTTTTTAACCTACACTTATCTACTGCAGAGATGTGGATCTGACGGAGAAGCTGGACTACTCATCGGCAGTGGCGTTGCTTGGGTACTCATTTATTCTTTCCATACTAAGAAGTTTCAACGTGAAGGCAGAGGCTTCTAGAGTTATGGTTGCTGCCCCGTTTCTTTCTTTTATAGCCACCCACATAATGTTTCTGAATTTCTATAAATTGGACTATGGTACGGTTCTCCTCCTTATGTAATTACTTTCTATACTAAGTAGAAACTTAGTTTAATTATCCCTGATGGTTTAGAATGTAGAGAGTAAGGCATGTTGGGTAAATGTAGGCATTTAGACATACATAGATACATGGTATCTAACACACACACGCCTACATACATATATGGTATCTACAACACACGCGCGTGCGCATGCATCCAAACCCTTCAAAAGAGAGATAAAAGCGATGATAATGCTTGATAGCAGTATGACCAGCCTTCACAGACTTGACAAATTGTCCTGTTGCCACGCCCTGCTCATCCACCTCCATCTCTGCCTCTGCCTCAAAAGTTTCCTTGACCTCGACTAAACTGTTGAAAATTCAGATTTCCACCAGTAGAATTGTTATTCTTGAATTGTGCAGCAAAATTAGCAGTAGGACCACTCAGTTCCGCAGAAACAGGGGAGTTAAGGTGCTCAAGTCTCGTTTCTTGATTTTGTAACATGAATTGAGCTTCTGAAAGAGTAAGAAGATCGGGTCTAGAAGTAAGATTGACAATAGTAGCTTCATATTCATTATCTAAACAACAAATAATAGAGTATCAATGCCAATTGACAAATAGTAGCTTCATATTCATTACCTAAGCCACAAATAATATAGAGTATCAATTCCTCGTCCGTGATACGCGGTATATAAATGAATAGAATACTGAATACTCATAAGAGAGAATTAATGAATATTTGTTCTGTCTTTGCTCTTCATTTTCTTCTCATGAGATGTATCATACAATGACTCCCGCCCTCAATACGTCTAACATTGGACATCGGAATATATTCACACACCCACTAAATGGAATTAAGTGAATAATTCTAGGTTTGCAGCAAAAAAAAAAGTGAATTATTTTCGGTCTTCCGTTTGATCTGACCCGATAAAGATTCCAAAACTATGAACTACCATGAAACGTTGAGTTGTTTCTGTTCCTACAATGGATAGTTTTAGGCTTTAGCCTTACTTCAATCTTCATTCTTTATTTCTGTTAATGGTATTTTAGACTTACTGTGATAATCTGAAAACACGTTCAACATCTTGCAGGGTGGAACATGAAAGTTTGCGTTGTCTTGGCCGTGGCCCAACTTCTCATTTGGGCAATTTTTGCTGGTGTAACTCGCCATCCATCCCGCTGGAAGTTGTGGCTGGTGGTAGTTGGCGGCGGCCTCGCAATGCTCCTAGAAATCTATGATTTTCCTCCATATCAAGGATTTGTTGATGCCCATGCTCTCTGGCATGCAACCACAATCCCTCTAACTTACATTTGGTGGAGTTTTATCAGAGACGACGCGGAATTCCAGACCTCTAACCTGCTAAAGAAGGCAAAATAGAATGTTTCAAGAATGCCTGACCTTGTAATTCTTCATTCTTGTGTCTGGGATATTAATTTAAGCTCTATTATTTATTTCTTTAGTGTAGTTTGTATCATTTCAGTTATTTTAACCCCCAAATAGCGAGTTTGAATGGATACTAATTCCCTTTTTTGCTGAAACCAATTGACAGTGTTAGTCACGGACTTGTGGTTTTACAAATAATTTTATTTACTTTTTCTTTATAAATGACGTACCAATTGATGAGTGAGATAGATTTAGTTAAACCAATACTAACAAGATTCTAACTTTGCAAAATAAAAGAAAATAAAGATTAGTTATGTCAGTAGTATACAAGTATTGAAGGCACGATGGAACACATTCTACGACCAATTTCAATGCAAATGTAAGATGAGGTGAATTGGGTTTTAAAAGCCTTTTCAAGCATTTTAAAATTATTGGTAAGTCCTCAACAAAACACGAATAAAACATGCAAAGTATGGGAATAGATATTCAATAGCCCAAAAATCAAGGTATGGGAACATAATAACAACCTAATTAAAAAAGCTCTTAGAAAATATTACATCTAAATTCGAATTAAAAACTTAAATTTACAGAGTGAACGAGGTGTTGGTTCAACTCCGAATATCAACCCATAAAGATTAACAAAAGAAAAAAAAACACCGTGATAAAGATTAAGAATAATAACAATAACAAAGTAGTCCGAGAGATGAGAGTACAACGCAATTTATTATGGTTCAACAATGTGCCTACATCTATTATCGGAAAGTCGCTTCCACTATTTGAGCAACTTTTTGGCACCAACAATAAGTTTAATTGCTGATTTGTTCCATCTGAGGATGTCCACATCCTTTGCAACTGTCACATTTCAACTTAAGAAGTTGGCTATGCTACCGCATCAAATTACAAGAGATTGATAACTTTTAATCACGATTTCGAATATCAATTGATTAACAAGAATTTCTCCTAGAGTTTGATTTGATACAATGTAGGCCTTGGAGATGAATGAGTAGGCACAAATATTTCATGCAAGTTTGGTTCAAAGTTTAGAAAACATTCTCAAGAACATATAAACACAATTTAATCTCTGGAGAAAGGAAAAAAAAATGTCTAAACGCTTAAATGTTGTCTTAAAAAATAGAATTTATTTTATTAAAAATTTACTTTCTTTTCTCTATATTTATTCTTTTTTTTTCTTCCAAAGATTCATGTTTAAAACTGAAAAATACCACTTTCTTTTCGGTCCTTTTCCTCCTCTCTTTTTCAGTCCTTTCAAATGCACTTCTTTCAATATTCAAAAAACCAAAACTGACACCAAATCTTGGCCTTCTCCTCCTCTCTTTTTCTTCTTTCTCCCCTCTTCTCGAACTATGGCACCGGACCTCTGCACAGTCGACAATCTCCCTCATGCAACTTTCTGGGTTGCAAGGTTGCAGCGATGAACGTTCAAAGTCGCAAGCTCTTTAGAACTGGATATCTTCCCCTTATTGATCAAGTAGCCATGCTAATCTCTCCTCCAAATGCAGGAGAGATCAGAGTTTTTAGGAAGAGGAAGAGACTAGAGTTTTTAGGTATGAAGGATAAAATCGTTTCTTTAAATTGTACATAAGTAGTTTGTCTCAAACTAATTAAAGAAAGTGACATGAATATATAATAATATCTCTAATGTAATGTTAAATTAGTGCGTCAATACCGAAATGTAGTATTTAAGTAGGAATATCACTCTTCAATAGGATGCTATTTTTGATGATAAAACATACACTATACTTAGTGGTATGTTTCCACTTTCCATCATATATAGCATATGCTAAATTTTAGCTTTTGATTGCTACTCGTGATATGTTTATCCTTTGATTTATTAAGTACAAGATCAACATTTTTAAGTTGGTTTAAAACTAAAAGTTGACTGTTACAACTTTTTAAAGCTTTATACAAAAGAAATTTAACATTTGAGTTAGTAATATGCATTGAAACACAAACTAAAATAATATATATTCACACTTTTTGGTGCCAAATTTGACATTGTCCTTTTAAAAAAAAAAAGTTTGACATTGGCGTTAGCATTAAGAAAATTACATAATTTACTGTTAAAAGTGCACGGGTTTAGATTTTTACCCTCATTTTTTTTATTAATACCCTTTTGTTACTATAGTTATTTTACTAAAAATGTTATTAATTAAGAGTAAGTGGTAGAAAAACAAACCCATACACTTTTAAAGGTATTTGTCTTATTTCGCGTTAGTATTTGCATTGGAATTAGGCCTTTAACCTCGGAAGACAGGGTATTAAGCCTAATTTTTAAAGTATTTACACAAAATGAACATTTTTACTGTTTAGGATATATCTTTAATGCAATAATATTATCAGTTTCTATATTTTATAGTTACTAATAGAATATAATACAAAATATATGGTTTTTTATCTGAGTGGTTGTGAATTTGTATAAATACTTTTAAAAGGTAATTAACTAAGGATAAAAATATATTGACGAGATATAAATATAACAACTCGTGGACATTCCCTTTTTCATAATTGTAAAATGAACATACATGTAATTAAATGAAAATGAAGGGAAATAGTAGAAAATAGGCCAATATGAAAAGCTTAAGAAAGTATATAGGCCAAATTTTAGTTATAGAAATTAATAGGCCATAACTTGTCAAGTTATGACTCATAACCAGATAAGTTACGGATAAACTTGTCAAGTTATGGTTCATAGCCAGACAAGTTATGGACAATTATAAATAATAACTTATCAAGTTATGGTTCATAACCACACAAGTTATGAATGAAAACAGTAATTTAGCCTATTTATTAATTTATATAAACTATTGACCTATTAATTTTAATTCATCTCAATCTTTAAACTATTTTCCTCTTTCTCCCTTAAATGAATTTTCTCAGCAATAGGACCAATAGGCCAATCTCAGCCCAAAAGAGTATCGCATCCTTACGGCCCACAGCCTAAAAGGCCACACGATCAAAAGAAAAGCGTAGAAACTCATCGGCAGAACAAGAACGAAAGCAAGAGTAGAGGATTGAGTGAAGAAGAGAAGAGAAGAGGGAAATTAAATTAAATTAGGATCATAGTGATAGAAAAAAGATGGGGAGGAAGAAGGGAACAGTGGAGTTCGATGAGTCGGCGCCGGACGACTTCGACGCATCGAAGCCATACAAGGACCCGGTGGCGATGCTGGAGATGAGGGAGCACCTCGTGAGGGAGAAATGGATCGACATCGAGAAGGCCAAGATCATCCGCGAGCGCCTCAAGTGGTGCTACCGCGTCGAGGGCATCAACCATCTCCAGAAATGCCGCCACCTCGTCCGCCAGTACCTCGACTCCACCCGCGGCATCGGTTGGGGCAAGGACGGCCGCCACCCCGCCCTCCACGGTCCGACAACTACCTGACAAAATCAAATCTTGTTCATTCACTCACTGCCTTTGGAATTCATTCATACCCTAATTTTTTTGGCCTTTTTTTTTTTTGTTTTGAATCAGGTCCCAAGGTTGAGGTTGAGGGTGAGGCGGCGGAGGCCGAGTGATTTTGATCATATGCTGTTTGTGTCTCCAGATTGATTTTTGTTTTGAGGTACTTTTTTTTTTTTTGGCTTTTCATTATTGCATTGGTGATTATTCACTGTCTCGTATGCAATTGGAGCAATTTAGTTCTTGTTGGCGATTTGTTTTTTTTTTTGTTTGTTTTTGTTTTTTTTTTTAAATAATGTGATACTGGCAAATACTTAAAATAATACAAAGGGCTGTGCTTTTATCACGATTGCAGCACATATCTTTTACAAATGGTGGTGAAATTATCCCTATGTTTTACATATGGTATTAAAAACTCTCCCCAAAATGGTGTTAATATATCCCTTGTAGGAAGGTTTTAACACAATTTGTATTGTGTAGGGGATAAGTACCGTATTTATGGAAAAACACAGGGGAGGTTTTTGTTATTAACCCAATAGAGAATCAATGTATACCCTTGGATTGAGTTTACTGTCGTTTAAGCCTATCCAGTTACTAATATCGAAGAAAATCTATGCCGGGAAGCTGGAATTATAAATGTGGGTCATTTTAAGAGGAAGTCTTTTAGTCCTGGGAATTATGTCTGTTTTAGATGGTGTGAGAAATTTGTCTTGAGGATTTTCATTGAGGGTGGAGTGAAAACGTTAGTTGGGTGTGGACTGTTGACTGTATCTAACTAAATTGACGCTTATTGCTACTGCAAATTCTCAATGACAAAAATAAATATTAAGGTAGTTACAAACTATGAACTATCTGGGTGGGAATTTAAAGCTATGGTTCCTTGACCTGTGATTGTCTGAATTATCAAGGTCCTGGTCATAGACACATTGTAGGTAACACAAATTGGAGATCATGGATTTTAGATTTATATCATTTTAAGGGGAACTTTAATCATGAAATTTTTTGGTTAATGATAGAGTTGGCAAGATATTGATTATGCTGAAACTAATTTGAATGATACCTTAGAAGGAACATGATGCAGTGGAATGGGATATATCAAGCCTAATCCATGGATAAGGGGAAAATCCCCAAAACTTAGAGAGAAAATTTTGGTAATCAATATGTCAATAATCTAGTCTAACTATTACAATGGCTAATCTGGTTATTTATAGCTTGCATACAACGATAACAAAAATACTGAGACAAACAACATACTAGATAGATAACGATAAACAAATAACAAAATTAAATTTAAGTTGATAAACTAAAGCAAGGGACAATGAAACTAAAATAATGGCTAATATAGCTAAAAGCTCCTATATTAACCCCCCCTCTTTTTTTTTTTTTTTTTGGAAGAAACTCAACCTCAAGTTTGGTAAAAAGCACATCAAAACAAACGTGATGTAATAGGAGGCCACTTGTGAGAAAGGTCCCGTTTTGGTTTGCGGGAGTGGTAGACCCTAACTGAATAGCTCCTCCGAATTACATCCCAAACCCAAAAGGGCACCAAAGCAATGGAGCAATGAAATAACACTAAGCTACTGGCCATTTACTCTTGAAATCTTCACAATCATTGTCTAGTGTACCAACAACTTGGCCAACAAATCAGTGGCTTAACTTTCAAATCTTAACAAATAATTCACTCAATTTTCATTTTCAAAGTTGGTACTTTAATTATTTCGATTTCTCCATCAACTTGGTTTGTTGGTTCACTATGAGCTACAACAACTATTTTAACATCTATTTGATTGTTCAAATTTTCAAGTTTGACCTCTTTGAGGTTCTCGAACAATGATCTCACATTTAGTAATTTTGTCTCCAAATATAACACAAGCTATCTGTTTATTTTTCTTAAAATCAAACAAGTCAGCTACAAATTGCATCATATTGGAGAGAGTTGTGGGTTTTATCTTGTAAAGTGGGCTTGGATTTATGAACAAATCGAGTTTGGTAGGCAGAAGGTTGTTGGGCTTGAGAATTTGATCTGGTCCACTTTAACCGTGGGTTAACTTAGGTGCATTGAGCTCTTCATTACCACCACCATCCAAACTACCTTAGTCATTCCTACCACTGGCCAAACCACCACGAACGCACGAATATAAAACCACCATTCACCTCACAGATCCAGAACCACCACCATCGGAGGGAGCAGTGTTGCACTTCTTCGTGCAATTCTCCTCTAGCTTTTGACATCGATGCCGGCAACTCCATAGATGCGATTCGGCCGAGGTCCTAGACTCCTTGTCTTCCCCCTTCTCCACCGTTCCCATGAGTGAATTGGCGAGCTCTACATATCCCTTATTCGTAAATTCATTGCTACCGACGAAGAGGCATGGAATCTCGGCGAATGCCCACAATCTCAGCCAAAGACATCCAAGAAACTCAGAGATTCCGACATCCCTAATCTTTCTTGCCGTCAATGCTCAGCTCTGAGCTTTGCGATTTTCTTTGATGTCCCCAATGTCTCTCGATGATGGCACTCGTCGACCTCTCTCTTAGGTGCATTGAGCTCTTCATTACCACCACCATCCAAACTACCTTAGTCATTCCTACCACTGGGCAAACCACCACGAACGCACAAATATAAAATCACCATTCACCTAACAGATCCAGAACCACCACCATCGGAGGGAGCAGTGTTGCACTTCTTTGTGCAATTCTCCTCTAGCTTTCGACATCGCTGCCAGCAACTCCATAGATGCGATTCAGCCGAGGTCCTAGACCCCTTGTCTTCCCCCTTCTCCACCGTTCCCATGAGTGTATTGGCGAGCTCTACATACCCCTTCTTCGTTAATTCATTGCTACTGACGAAGAGGCATGGAACCTCGGCGAATGCCCACAATCTCAGCCAAAGACATCCAAGAAACTCAGAGAGCTGCGATCTCTTCCGACATCCCTAATCTTTCTTGCCGTCAATGCTCAGCTCTGAGCTTTGCGATTTTCTTTGATGTCCCCAATGTCTCTCGATGATGGCACTCGTCGACCTCTCTCTTTGGTGGCTGTGGGATTTAAGAGCGTTGAGTCCAACATCCAAAGACGAACATCGCTAGTGCAGACTCGGTGCAACAGCGACATTTGCATCCGGGCACATAGAGGTCGCACCTATCTCACTCACCCATGTTCGAAGTCAAAAACGATGTTGCAAGTTGTTTCTTCGTTGTCGTCCAAGTCAAATGCTGGTGAGGGCTGGAGTGGGCTTGGCGTTGGGAGTGGCCGTGGAAGATGGTGCACTCATTGTGGCGACAAGTGTCCTCTCATGCGATTTGCAACTCTAATTCGTAAATTGTATCAAGGAGCCCTACGCATTAGTGAGCAGAGGCCCAAAAATAGTAGGGCTCACATCAGATTTTTAAGCCCAACAAAGAATGTAGCCCTAATAAAACTTTCAATCAAGTTTTCCTATGTTTGACAAGCCTAATAGTCAAATTGGCCCAAGTTTTCATTAGAATTCCATGCTCACATTACAAGGTAGATATGTAATTCTCTATGATATTATGCAATTCGTATATGATTGGTTTGATAGGAAAATAAAATTGCATCTTGTCTTACATTGGAAGACAAAATTACTGATTGTGGAGACATTTTTCAAAAGTAGTTTATGAAGAATCTTGATGGGTTAATTGAAGTGTTCGTTTGGTTCGCGGGTTCGAGTTGGTGTGGTTGTAAACCTTTACAGTTTGAGCTGAAAATTTTGAACCTATATGGTTTAACTTCTAACTGTAGTCTGACTTGATGGTTGGCAGTATGAAGTCTAATCATGGAATAAAACATCACACTATGAAAATGTGTTTGGATAGTATGAGAATTATGTTGAAACTGGAAATAAATTCATGATTTTATTGTAACAAAAAAGTTCAAAACCAATTCAATCAAATACACATCGAAATGCCTGTTTGAGCTAGGTTCATGGGTTCAAACCCATGTGAACCTACAAACCAAACACACCCGAAAATTTAGATGGTCAAATTGGTCTTGAAATGATTGTTTAAACTCATAATGGACAAACCAAATTACTTGATCAAGAATTTGGTACATTGGGAGCACAACTTGGAAAGCCAACAACTTAAGAGTGCAAATTTTGAAGATTGGTAGTGAACCCTTTAATTCTCATTGGTCGAAATTGTTGGAACATGAGACATTGATTTTCAAGACCAAAGGGACAAGGCGATGTCCATGGTGATTGGTTTGGAATTTTTCAGCATTCCAATGCTCCATTGCTTTGCTGGTTGTGGGTTTGGGATGTGATATGGAGGAGCTATCCGGTTGGGTCCACCACTCCCATAAGCTAGAGCGAGAGTGTTTTGGCACTTTTAGTTGCCACATCACGATCGTTTTCATGTGCTTCTACTAAATTTGTGGTCAAGTTCTTTTTTCAAAGAAGAGTGAACTGATTTAGGAGGTTTTAGTTATAGTAGTCCTTTTTAGTTGCATTGTCGTTTATTAAATTAGCTATGCTTTTTATTTGTTTATTGTTGTTTGTTTAGCTTGTTGTATGTCTTAGTTGCTATTTTGGTATTGTTTTGTCCGTGGGGTATAAATACCCGCATTAGCTATTGTAAGGGTTAGACTTGAATATTGACATATTGATTATCAAAGTCGAGTTCTCTCTCCATTGGGATTTTCTCCCTTATGGGTTAGGATTAAGTGGATTTGGAAAATTATGTCCATCTTCCGTCCGGTTAGGCCAGTAAATTCTATCCTCCCAATTCAGCTGCATCAGAACAGGTTCTAAGCATAGTATGCTATGCTCCTTTTTGGAGAACCGTGTTACTGTGAGCCTTCTATTTTGCAAATATTGGTAGTCATGCATCAAATGTCTTTTTGGCATATTGGAGAACTCAACGGTTTGGTTAGTTTACTTGCTTGGAGTGAGATATGATGCGGAAAAAAAAAAATGTATTTGGTTTTTCAGAGTTTGACAGCTCCATGTGGTGTTTGGGGTTTGTAGGCTTAAATGGTATACCGGTAGTATTTTTTGAGGACCAGAAAGTAATGTGAGTACGTCCATTGGTTCGTGGAACTGTATAGGGTTTGTTATAACCCTTGATTTAAAAAGAATAAGCATTTTGGGGCCAATGCAAGTAATACATCCAAAGGTTCGTAGTGATTTAGAGGTTCAAAGGCTTTTGTCAACAGTTAGTTTAGAAAACCTCCCGTGTGGTTAACTGAATGCTATCATGAAATCCAGTGACTTGGGAAATGAGTTTGTGAGTTTGGTTGCCTGGTTACTCTGATATAAGAAGTTGACCAAACTGGGCATTTGTAGTAATGTTAATGGTACTTGCCAAGCATTTCTGCAATTCTTTAAGTATGGATTGTGTTGCAAAAAGAAAAAATAATAATAATAATAATAAAAGGACTATAGTTATATCCTATGATTTGAATGATTTGCTTGAATGTTAAAATCACTCATATGTTTAAATTTCTATTGTGAATAAATTTCATCAATATGTTTGTCTACTGTGAATTAATTACATTAATACCAGATTTTCCTTACCTTTTGACCACCTTGAGCATCTTCTTTTCCTGCTGTGTGTCGTGTATTTCCACAATGAATGTTTGGCTTTGCTAAATGGTTATACTTCCACTCCTGGTTATTTACACAAAGTAAAAGTGCAATAAATTACATTTGGAAAGCAGAGTAAAAATATGCATTGTTAATTCACCAATTACTTCCCCGAATCACCCATTCTTCAGGGCCTCACACAGTTGATTACTCGACTCAAAGCTCGCAAAGGATTCTTAGTTGGAATGATAATCACAAGAAGGGAAAAAAAACAAAAACCAAAAAACCAAATTGTCGCGTATTTCAAAGAAACAGTTTCTTTTTAGTGTGCTGAAATGCAAAAAATAAAAAATCTTTTGCCGACTGTTATTTGCATTTCACTGCAAATTCTTTTGTTGGTGCTTACCAAATAGGTGTAAAATTGCAAGCCCTCTTGACTTCTGTTGGGCAATTGAGGATTGAATGGGCCTTGGATTTGAACTTTTTCACAGAATTAAATGCCCTTTTCAAAACATCTGAAAGTAGTAGTTGCATTATGAAAAGTCTAGGAAATAGTGAACCGTCACTTGCATAGTAATGTATCATATAGGTTTAATGCAGAATTTTGTGCTTAGAATAATTTTTATTTGATGCTACACCAAGTGCATTAATCTGATCATTTATTAATTTTTGTATGTAAAAAGTACTTGAAATGTTGAACAAATTGAAGGGAAATGGAAAATTTTTTTTCCCTTCTTTGATGGCGTAAGAAACTCTTCATTAATTTACTTGATTCTAGCAAAGTGTGATTATTAACTTCCCCTTTCATTGTGAAATTTACATGTTCACGATGGGATTTATTTACCGCAACCAGTTTCTGTGTCCATCCGACACAACTTGTACACTGCATTCTGCAATATGACGCAATATGATGTCCTGAATCTGAATCTTATTGTGATGCAAGGGAAAGGGAAAGGATAATGTGACGTTTTGTTCATGAATTCAGAGTTATAGTTAATGATTTTGATTTTTAAAATTTAAATTTTTTATGAGAGAAAAATACTGTAACGAATCAAGAATTATAATCTTAAATCACATCAGAACTTTCGAAACAAACGGAGGCATAATTCTCAAGCTGAATTTTTATTTTATTTCTCTCTTTTTTTTGCAGGTGCCTAGAGTTGGTGTGAATAGAGGTGCTCAAAATGGAGGGCTCAACTTCATTGTCCTTTGGTTTCATTGTTGCTCTCTTTTTCTTTATCCAGACTCTCTCATCATCCACAGTTCTTCTTTTGTCATGTAATGTGCAGAGGCCAGGTGCCCTCGGATCTTATCCTTTTTCTTAGATTTTCCTGCTTGTCAGCGTCAATATACAGGCATGCAACTATTTTGAACAGGACCGTGAATGAAATTACATCAGATACATAAATAAATAAATAAGATTCTTGTCTGGATGTGCTTGTATTTATTCTTGTAAAATCTCATTTGTTCAGCTGTTTGGTGGAGGAATAATTCAGCTGAGGTTATGGGTTATTTACACACACACACACACACACACACACACACATATATATATATATATATATTATCGAAGGTAAAGGTTGTAGCTTTTATTATAGGTCCTGGCTTCGGCCTTGGAACTCAGCTTTAGCAGTGACTAGATCGTAGGGAGCAAGAAAATTGGAAATATACTTATTATTATGCATTCGTCTTGAGTTTATCTGAGAACGAAGACGATATTTTAATTTCGTTACTTTCATGATTTAAGATGATTCTGCTATGTCTCGTAATTATTGGCAGGTGGCAAATTAGTGGAGAATTAATTGACATGATAAATTATTGTTTTCAGCCAAAAAAAAAAAAAGGAACTATTGTATACCTACCTTTAAGTTGATTCGTCAGTACCTTTTTACTAATTTAAATTGTTAAGAGGGTCTTAACATTGTTGAGATGCTCTATACGGTCTTGATTTCAGTTGAGCTCTTATCGTTTATGATAAGAAAAATGGTACAACTTTCTACGAAGTCGTGGTCTTGTTCAAGGAAAACTTCTTGCCCTTGTTATTACATTAATTTGGTTTTTCAAGGCATTAAAACCACGTCTCACTTGGTCTATGTTTATTCTGAATTCATGGTTTTGCTACTTGTAAGAACATGTTTATGCTAGAGACAAATATATATATATATATATATATATATATATATCTCTCTCTAATTCATGGTTTTGCTACTTGTAAGAACATGTTTTTGCTAGAGACAAATCTCTCTCTCTCTCTCTCTCTCTTTCTAATTCATGGTTTTGCTACTTGTAAGAACATGTTTTTGCTAGAGACAAATCTCTCTCTCTCTCTCTCTCTCTCTATATGAAGTAGTAGGCAGAGATGTTAGGAACTCGCTCGTCTTGCGAGAAAGCAAATCGATTATGGATGAGAACTTTTAGTTGCATTTTGTACTAATTCCTTCATGAAAACCTCAATACAGGAGTACAAGTTATGGCCCAAAAAAAAAAAAAAAAAACTTAGCTGGGGACTTGGAAAGATATCTATACAAAATAGAGGAACAAAATTACAAGAAGATGAAAAAGTTAAAACACCTATTCCTGAGCATACACGGCCAGTAACAAATGGGAAATCCATATCCCTCGTCAACCTACTTTTCTCGAAGTAGTCACCAAAGCATTTGTATCGGCTATAATTCTCAATTGCAATTTTCTTTTCTTTTCTTCCCATGGTTTAGAAGAAAGAGCTCATGGCATAAACGAGGATCACTCAAGGCAGTGATATAGACCAGGACTGAGCCGTTCCAAGAAGCTTGGAGATTTGCAATGGGACAATATTGACATTGATCTTCTCTGCGTTATTCCTATATATGCACAAAAAGAGCAAAGTAAGCAATATCCAAAAAAAAAAAAAAAAAAGTAAGCGAATGAAATGGTAAAGCAAATAAGAGGGAGCGGGTGAGAGTAGTCTTAAAATGAGATTGTTTATGGAATCTGGAACCTAATTGTACGTGCGTACATGCAATATATTATGACGTAGAAATTAAGAATATAATATTGTGATAAGAAAGAGGAGCTCCCTTCAATCCAACAGGTGAGCTAAAGAAGCGGAAGGAGTTGCTCCCACGCCATGCACCTGGCCAAACCCTTAACATTTATGATCAACTTCTCTCCTTTCTCTCTCTCTTCACTTATTTCTTCGGAATTTTTGCCATGAAAATATTAAGGATAGCCAAAATGCATGAAATGGCAGCTCTAGCCACTCCTCAGCTCTCGGCATTGGAGTGAAGGGAGCTTCTTATATCTTCCCATATGTATGTGTGTGTGTGTGTGTGTGTGGTGATTGCAAGTCTCTTTCTCTCTCTCTCTCTCTCTCTTAGTGAGCGAAGTGCTAGAAGATGAGAAAGAACCATAAGTTCTTCCCCCCTTTGCTTTCTTATATAAGCTACTCTTCCATTTTCTTCTCCTAAAGTAATTTTTTCTAAAAATGCTTATATTAATTTAGCAAAAGATAAATAAAAAAGAGAGCTTATTTTTAAAGTAATTTTTCTTGTCTCGGTCTTAGTCTAGTCGGTGTTCCGTCACGTGCTTAGATTCAGGAACTAGTGAGGGGACACTAGTGTGGTGCCTGTCAAACACACTCTAACGCTCAAGTTAACTGAGCAAATTGAGAACAATAAATGTTATGACAGGAATAAAGTAGGAGGATTATTCTTACCTTAATAAATGATTATGGAGTATTTGTAGTCCCATTAGTGGATCCGGATTTTGTCCATGACCCACCGGGGGCCACAAGTACACGTGTGACAAGTGTTGCATATTAATGGGAGCATGTGGTATCCATCCAACGGTTGGAATCGATTTGCTTGTAGATTGTTTATCGTGATGTGAAATTGCCGGGCAGCCATATTCGGTGACAGACCTGTAGACATTGTGTTCGGCCCACTGTCAGGATAGTAAGTGTGCCTTACATTAGATCTATTATCTATTGTCGAAAAGAAGCTTAGCTATATCAGTATGCCCGAACACTAATCGAAGACTTATTCGGCCGTACCGCCCGAACACTAATCGAAGACTTATTCGGCCGTACCGCCCGAACAGTACTCTGCACGCGCTCGGGGTGCACTGCCAAGCTACCTCCCAACATGTATTATTTGTTTGTGGCTCTGTTTATTTCGCTGATTCGAGTTTAGAATTTGAGTTTTGTTACAGTTAAAAGCTCTCACAAACAATCACATCTAACTTTTTTGCTACAGTAAAAAGCTCTCACATAAAATCACATCTCAACTCGAATTAAAAACTCGAATCAGCGAACTAAACGGGCCCGTAGTGTACTCGTATACGGCAATATTTCTTTTAATAGTTATGTGTGATATTATGGCTCCGTTTTTTTCGCTAATTCGAGTTTAGAATTCGAATTTTGTTACAGTAAAAAGCTCTCAGAAACAGTCATATCTAACTTTTTTGTTACAGTAAAAAGCTCTCACACAACATTACATCTCAATTCGAATTAAAAACTCGAATTAGCGAACTGAACGGGCCCATATGTGATTATAATTAACTAACAAAGCTTGTTGTTGAAACTTGCAAGCTCCCTCCCCCACTAAGGTTCAACGCCCTCGAGGCCAGCCCGAAAAGGCCGTGTAACAGAGAGAAAAAAGAAGAAATAAATAATTTTCTGAAAAAAAATCATTTAAAATGTTTTTTTTTTTTTTCAATTTTTGTTAGTTTTATACTTCATTAATGATTAACTTTCTTAAAATTTAAAGTAAGTTTGTCTTTCAACATAACTAATGTCTTATTATTGTTATAGATTTGTCACTAAACACCATTATTTTAATCAAATTATTTTCGGCTACTATATTTTATTTAGTACGTCCATGATTCACCGAATATTGCTTTTTTATGCGTACAATTTGATAACTCATCAAACAAAGGATAGGAGTCAGCATAATCAATGCAGTTCTATCCAATTTAATCCAATTCAATCTTAAGAGCATCTTTAATGTAATACTAAAATATTAGTGTGATACACTAATATTTTAGTATTTAAATATGAAAAACACTCTACAATACAATATTATTTTTGATGTTAATTAAATTTAGTATATGTTATATTTGGCTTTTGATTGCCGTTGGTTAATATGTTTTCTCTTTTATTGAATGATTACAACATTTACATTTTTAAATTATGTTAAAATCAAAAGTTATTTTACAACTTTCAAAACTTAACTACTATGCCATTTAAAAGTGGATTTAGTATTTGAAATAGTTTTATTTATTGGAGTATAAATAAAAATATCATATCAAATATATAATTTTCACACATTTTGATGTCAAATATAACATTGACGTTACCCTCGTAGAGAAACCCCCTGATTTACTCCCTTATCTGATTTTCAAAATAGTTGGTCTACTAATATCACAATTCATTTTGTTTTTATTAATTGGAACATTTCATATAAAATTGATAAAAGTACTTATAATTGCTTGCGTTCTTTTATTTTTATTACTATTACGATTTTTAAAATTTACTACGTCGTTGTATAAGTACTTATACAAAACTAAATTTAGAGATCAATTAATCAACCTTAGTCTGTTCAAAGCAAAAGAGCTAGACAATGAGACAATAATTTGGCAGCATATGCGTGTACTAGGTGAATCTGTATAACCTTATTGTTCATGAAATGGATCTCAAAGCTCTAAATCTGATAATGCTAAGACTTCATTGTACTGGGTTGGGTAGGGGTTACATATAAATGCTTAAACATTGATATTGATGAAACCAAACTTTTGGGCGCGTTTGGAACTCGTTCCAAAATAATTTTATTTTTTGTATGAAAATGAAAATGAAAACGTTTTCAATCTCAGACAAAAATTATTTTTAAAAATGCGTTTGGTAGTTTTATCAAGAGATTGTTTTCAGTGTAAAAAAAACTCATTAATGTCTCTCTTTCTTTCTCTCTGCTCAAGAGAGGAGAAAACAAAAATAAAAAATAAAAAACGACTAAAAGTCGTTTTTCATTTCTTTCTCATTTTACACTAAACAAAAAATATCGTTTTCGTTTTCATTTTTTATCTTTATTGCGTCAAACGCCATTTTAAAAATGTTTTTATTTTTTTCTCAAAAAATGTAAAAAACAAAAATATGATCAATTCTAAATACGACCTTTCGTACTGATCATAAGACAGTACTGAAACGTACCACTTTATCCGGGTCAAAATTAGGTTGCAAATCCAGCATATTTATGAAGAAGCAGTCAATCAGATAACAAATACATGCTATTTGAGATGACACCACCATTTTGACCCTGTGATTTAGCATTTGTCCCTCTCTGCGATATGCTTGGATTCGGATTCTCTTTTAGCATTTGTCCCTCTCTGCAATATGCTTGGATTCGGATTCTCTCTCTCTCTCTCTCTCTCTCTCTCTCTCTACCATGCATGACGACCATCTC